CCCCGAGCCCACTGCCGGGGACACTGTCTGGGCAGCCAGAGCAGGCCTGTGACCAAGGCCACAGCTCCACATGCAAGGGGCCAGCAGCACCCGCGCCTCTGGGGGTTCGGGGGTGCACTGTGGGGGCTGCTTCCCGCAGCCTTGGGCTGGGCAGGTGGCGAGAGGGGTCGGAGGGTCGGACGGCAGGCTCACCCCACACGTGGTGATCACAGGGTCCTTGAACACGCTGCAGCAGAGCTGGCAGCACAGCTTCACTGAGGGCTGCTCGGCAAACACCAGCGGCTCCTGGAAATGACAGGGCAGGGGAGCGTGGGCACAGGCTGCTAGCACGGCAGCAGGGCCACGCTGGGCCATGCCACCACCGGGTGCCTGGCCCCTGCAGGCCCAGGGCTGCCCCCAGGGGCAGGGACCTGAACTGAGAGGGGCCTGATGAAGCCAAGGGGGCCTTGATGGCCGGGCAGGGTGGACTGCATCCAGCTGCCCAGTCCCGGCCCACCCCACTGCCCCTCCTCCTGCGAAGAAGACTGGAAAGGCCCACCTGAGCCCCGCAGACTCCCAAGCTTGTCCCTGGGGTGGGGGAGGGGGAGGACATGCCTGGGGGACCCACCTGGCCCCTCAGTCCTGACATAGACCCACAAAGACTGGAGGCCCTGACCCAGCCTGATCTGCCTCTCGCTGCCAGCCAGGCTGAAGACAGCTATGGCCCTTAAAGGCCATCCACGCCGAGCCCCAACACCTACCGGCTCCTCCTCCTCCTCGGGCAGGGAGAACGTGGAGCGCAGGGACATGCTGGACTCGGAGTGCAGGGAGCGGACGGAGATGGCTGAGTCGGAGCGGCGGGGCGTGCTGATGGGGGGCTGTGCAGAGAGAGGTGGCCCGTCAGGGTCTCAGCATGGGGTCTGGGTGGGGTGGGAGGAGGACAGGGACAAAGCCTGTGGAACCTGGGGGGCAGCGGTGCCCCTGGGGCTTCCTCTGTCCTAGCAGGCCCTCTGGCTGCCCACAGGGGCCGTGGGTGTGTGTGGGCGCCCGCCTGCCTGCCAGGGCTGGCCACGGCCTCTGGTGCTGGGCTGCCTGCTCACGTCTGCCAACTTTCTTTGTGTAAACGGAGAGACTTCCTGCTATTCAATTCTACGAGGACATGCTCAGGCTGCTTCCTGCTTCCCGTGATGGAATGTGGGCCACAGAGGGGCACCTCCACCAGCCAATCCCAGGCAGCCAAAGGCCCAAGACTGTTGCATGGAAGGGCACGGAAGGAAGGCTGGCTGGGGGACCGCAGCTGGGCTCAGCCACCTGCTTGGCCTCTCTGGCCAAGAGACACCAGACCCCGCCAGGGGGAAGGTAGGGCCGTGCCCCCACCAAACCCCGGCTGGACTTCTGAGAGTAGGTGAGGACCACAGATGCTGCCCTGAGCCTGGGCCACCAACTGGGGAGTCCTGGGGGAGGGGCAGGCACTGTCCCTTCCTCCCCTCTGGGCCTGGAAGCTTCCAGAAGTTTCCAAGAGCTATTGCTCCCCATGGCCCCTCCCCTGGTGCTCTGACAGCAGCCCCAGGAGGACACCACACTGCAGGTCCCCCACCTGCAGCTCTGCTGTGCCTCTGTGGGAATGACCCCTCCTCCCAGCAGCCCAGGTGTGAAACCTGCGGGACACAGAGGCACAGGAGTTGCAGGGTCGGGTGTCCCCAAGCTGCCAGAGGAGGGCACTGTGTCCCGCGTGCCTCACCAGGGCAGTGCCCACCACCCTTCAGGGTCCCGGGTGGCCTATCTGCATGGAAACTCCACGTGAGGACAGCAGGGAAAGCCAGAGGAAGTGAGTCAAACACGCCTGCAGCGACCTAGCCAGAGGGCAAGAGTGGGACTGGCAGGGGCTGGCACAGGGGCCGACGGGGGCCAGGCCTAGGGGTGGAGGTGGTAGGCAGGGGCCACCTGTGACCCACACTGCTGAGGCCTGAGGGAACAGGGTGGTCAACTTGTCCTCAGGGACTAGTGCAGAGTGTGTTTGTTTGATTAATTAAGAAAGTTTTTCCTTCCTATTGAGAAAGAAAAGAGACCAGGCCTGGCGACTGGGCATGGGGAGAAGCCTTGGTCGGAGAAAGACTGGGAGCACTGGACCGCTAGCCGGATCTGTTAGTGGGGCCACCACGCCTGAGAGGACGGCTGGCCGCAGTGTGGTGACGTAGTGCGCTGTGCCCCTGCCCCAAGGCTGGGCTGGTCCCCAACACCCAGGGGCCCAGTCTGGCCCAGAGCCCATTGGTGAGCACCAGTGACCAGACTGGCAGAAATGGCCACCGTGACCCGAGACCCGTCCTCACTCTGCAGAGCAGCACCAGGGAGTCCTCCTGCTGCCCCAGCACTTGGTACAGGCCTCGAAAGGTCCCTGTTGCCTCTGCTGACCCCATGGTTGGGCCCACTCACCCTTCCCCACCTGCCATGGCCTATCTCCCGTGTCAAGACCTCCCTCGACCCTTGCCTCTATGCCACAAGCCCACTCATTCTCTACCCAGCAGCACAGGAAGCTTTTATCTTCTTACTCTCCTGATTGAACCTTCTATACCTCCCAGCCCTCTTAAGATGGGGCCAAACACACCTCGACCTGGCCTGCAGGCACCACATCCCCCAGCCCAGCCGCCCTCACTGGCTGCCCCCTGCCACCCACGGTCCAGCCACAGGGGCCTCCTTTTAGTCTCGTGGACTCACCACGTGTGCTCAGGCCTCAGGGTGCCCACACCTGCTGTCCCCTCTGCCTCACCAGCTCACTGTCAGCTCCTCCGGGAACCTGAGGCTCATCAGAGGTGACTGCTCCTGGAGGTGGGGACCTACCATGCTGTCCTCTTCGTCCCGCGGGGAGTAGGCGAGGGTGCTGGAGGAGGAGGGCGTCCTGCGGTGCTGCTTGTACGTGCTGGTCCCATCAGCTGCCAAGACGAGAGGGGCAGGGCACCATGAACGAGAGGGGCAGGGCACCATGAACGAGGGCCGCCGCAGGGGCCTGACTGCGCCGGGTGGGCGGGGGTATCCCCGGGGGGAATGTGCGGTGGGGCGGAGCAGGGCCTGGCTGCACATCAGGCCCAGGGGCCACCTGTAGCTCTCAGCTCTTCCCAGGGCCCTGGCAGGATGCAAAGGGTGCAGGCACAGGTGGGAAACTGTGTTGCCGCCCCAGGTCAAACTGGTGCCAGGAGGGCAGCTGCAGGGCCTGGGCCCCCTGGGCAGTCCCAGCGCTGAGCCTGGGAGCTCCTGGCACCCAGCCCTAATCCCCAGAGGAGTCTTTTTCCAAAGCTTCTACAAGGTTTCTGTCACCCTAGTCTGGCCTGGGGCTGCTCTGCCCAGCCGAGGCACAGGGCCAACTCTGCTTAATTACACCTAAGGTCACTTGGCAGGAACTGAGGACACTTTTTTTGACCCTTAAGGTAACCCTGCCAGGTGAGTTCTCTGATAGCCTCGGTTCACAGAGGAGGGAGCTGCCGGCCATAACCCGGGTCCAGCCACGGCCTTCTTGCCGCCTCTAGGGAAGGTGCTGGTCAGCTGTCCCTGTGGGAGCCAGGGAGGGCCACCTCCTCAGTCCCCAGACAGAGGCCCTGGGGTGGCTGTCACCGGCCTCAGGTTCAGTTGTCACAACAACCAGCTCCAAAGGCCTGGGCTAAGATCCAAGCTTTAACCTAGCTGCCCTGTGACCAGGCCTCAGTTTCCCCATCTTAATGGGAGGGGCCTGGGAGAGGCCACTGTCAGTGCCTCACCACCTGGCTCTGGCCCGTCCCGGCACCCGGACAAGGTGCCACAGGCCCACGTCCTTCTCTGTGCTGGGCATGCTCAACTGTTGTGACAGGTGCTCTGTGGTTTCTAAAGGGATGGGGGAAATGAGGGAACCATTTCTTGGTGGGGTTGGATGGTGGAGGTGATACTTATTTTTTCCTCAGGAAAAAAAAAAGATGAGAAAAACAGGGGGTACTTTCAGAGCCCCTGAGGGATCACGCAGCAGCAGAGAGGTGCTGGTGTGAGCAGGTGTCCTAGGTGGCCTCAACCCAGTGGCTAAGTTCGGCCAGTGGAAACCAGGAGGAAATAATTAAAACCTAATTAGCAGCTGGTGTCCCTCTACAAGGGGCGGAGTGCCAAAAAAGGCAAGGGACAAACTCCGCCCTAGAACCCCTGGCCCTGAGAGGGGCCCATCACTCTCCTTCCTCTGGGAAGGGGGCTGTGCCGTCGCCTGTCGCCTCTGTAGAGAGGACCTGCGACCTTTCGGGAGCTGGCCAGGAGGCTGGGGCAGGCCGGGCGTGTGTGGTGGTGCTAGGAAGTCAGGGTAGGCTACCTGGAGAGGGGACAAGCAAGGTGGGGGGGCACGGCAGTGCCAAGGCAGAGGGAGGCTGAGTGCGGGACGGGCAGCCTGAGTCCTGCCCAGAGTGGGAGGAGGGCAGGGATGGGGGGCAGCAAGGACAGTGGCTGGGAGCCCGACACCAGCGCCCAGCACCAGCACCTGCCCCACCAGGAACTGGCCCTCGGGCCTTGGCAGGGTGGGGGTAGGGGTGCCCTGAATACTTGCAGCCGGGACTGGCCTTAGCATTCAGTCTCACCTTTAGTGATGGTGGTGACGGCCGAAAAGGCCGGTCCAAAGGTCGTTTCCATTCTGGTCTGTAGAGAGAATGGAGGAGACTTGACCTTGTCCCCAGAGAGAACAAAGCCACGCACGTGTGCACATGCTCACACACTAACAGGCCAGGCATGTGCACGTGCAGATACACCAGTAGCAAACAGACTCGGAACAGTGCCACCCCAAGGGGCCCCCGGGGTAGGAAGGGGTCTGCTCTGGAAGCTGTGCAGTCGGTATCAAGTCACTGGAGCGTGCTGGGGACTCCGGCTGTGTGGGGTGTGCAGAGGGCAGACCCTTACCCCGGTGGTGATGTCTGGGGTGGGAAGGTTGGCAGGCCCCCCGGAGAAGCGGTTGTAGCGGGCGCTCTTGCCCGAGCTCATGCTCTAGAGAGGCATCTAGGGTCCTCGGGCAGCATCCCCTGTGGGTGGAGCACAAGCAAGAGGCTTTAATGGCGGCAGGCCTGCCCCGTCCAGCCCACAGGGCACACTACAGCCTCCTTCCACCACCAGGGCCAACTCGGGCAGGTCCACAGTGGGCACAGTCCCCTCCACGTCTCCACCCAGCTGGGCGCAGGCAGGCGAGCCATCGCTTAGGGCTCTGCCCTTCTGAAGAGCCCGCCCTCCAGAGGTGGAGAGACCCCCACCTGGCTCTGTCTGCTTCTCTGGGTCCTGAGTCACAGCCAGTCACTTCCTGGCCCTCCCCTCCACAGGGCGAATGTCCCTGGGGCCAAGGCTGGGCCCCGGGGAGTGTCTCTGCCAGCCCACTGGGTTCACCCAGGGTGCGGCACACACAGTGGAGCCGTCACATGGGGACCAGCCAAGGCAAGAGGAATGAGTTTCTGCCACAGCAGGTGCTGTCAGGACCCAGCCGGCCAGTGGCCACCTGGCCACACCCCAGAGCGAGCCTGGGGGCTAAAGTACGAGCCTCATGACAAGCAGAGAACAGGAGAGAGATGTGCCCCACAGGGGCGGGAGCCTGTTAGTCACCACACCCCCAGGTGTGCCCACTGAGGCTCTGGGCTGGGTGGCAGGGGAGGCACGTGGGGATCACCCTCCCCAGCGGAGGGGCTAGGTGGGCCCCGGGAACTCTGGCCAGGCCCAGGGGCACGTGTAGGAGAAGTAGGAGATTAGAGAAGAAAGGACCAGACAGCAGGTCACATGTGGGACAGATCTCGGGGATGGAGCTGCCGAGACAACACCTGCCCTAGCAGTGCAGTGGCACACCCGGGGGGCCACTGGACTCTGTCAGCAGGTGCCCCTGGCAGTCTGCAAGCCAGGCCCCTGACGCTGAGCTCCCTGCGGGGAGCCCTCCCGGCCCAGGATTACTGCCCCAGGGTGGGGCCTTTGGAACAAGCTTGCTCCCTGGGGCAGTGCAGCAGCAGGGAGCCCACCCTGGTGGCCCTGCTCTCACCTCAGGGTGGCCTGCCCATGGGCCAAGGCCCCAAGGGACAGGAGAGAAAACAAGCTGCTAGAAGGTCTGGGTGGGACACCTGCTGAGCCGGCACATGCCAAGAGGGTGGCAGAGATGGTCTCTGCTCCAACCCACAGGGAGTCCAGTGGGTTCCCGCACCTTCCCTGCCAGGCCCTCCTGGCCTGGCCCCTCTGGTGGTGTCTGCCCTGCACACACGCCTTCAGGATTGCACTCGTCACCCACACCATGGCCGTGCAGTGTGACCTGGGCCCTGTAGTGGCTCCCCAGCCCGGTCTGTGGGTCAGCAGGGAGCCCTGGCATTCCCTGCAAGGGCTCCTGGGCTGTCCAGCCCCTGCCTGCCCCCTTGCAATGCCCCCTGCCCAGCCACGGGTACACTCAGCCTTCAGGCCTCAGCCCGACATCTCACAGATCGGGGGTGACTCGGTCCCCATGGTCGGCACTGCCCTGAGACACTCGGCCTCACTCTGAGCACCCTACGGGTCCAAGTAGATGGGTGAGGGGTCCCAAGAGCTTGGCCAAAGCCCTTCTCCTCCTGTCCCCAATTCCCCCATCGGCCTGCCAGTGCACAGCCAGGCTCCACTGCTCCTGCATTCTGCCCTCCCACAGCCCCAGCCTCAACCAGGAGCTGGGACAGGGTCCAAACACAGGCCACCCCTCCCGATACCCACAGGCCCAATGTGACTCGAGGGGCTTGGCTGTGTCCCAGACCAGGCTCTCGGGGGAGAGGCAGGGGCTCCTGAGAGTAGGCAGTGCCAGGCACCTGCAGCTCAGAGACAGCCTTGGGAAAGAGGTGTGAACATGTCATGGCTGGAAGCCCCGCTCCCACCCTCTACCAGTCTGCTCCCCAACTTCCCAGCAGAGCCGCCTGCTCCTCGATAAGCAGAAGGTCTGAGAACAGCCAGGGGCTCGGCTTGTATCCTGCTTGGGGTGAGGATGCCCCAGCCAGGGGAGGCCCAGACAGCCTGAACCTGAGGACTCCAGGACTCACCGTCAGCACAAAAGGTGCAGCCCTCGTGGGGAAGCCGAGACCGGCTCCGCCTCTGTGAAGCGGGGAGGGGTCGGGGCTCGCAGGCAGGCTGCTGGGAGACACTGACCTGGATTTTACAAACCCATCTGTTCCCTCCACTGCAAGTTTCCAGGGCTGCAAGGCCAGCTGAGAGCCCCAGTGAGTGACACCAGGGGCCCAGGCGGCTGGGATCCCAGCAGGCACTTCCCCGGGGACCTCAGCCAGCCTGCCAGCCCCGAGCGCCTGCTGCTCAGTCTGGGAGAGCAAGCGTCTGGCTTCTCCCTCACTCCAAAGTGAGGTAAACAGAAAGGCACGCAGGGCAACATGCAAATCAGCCGGAAAGTCCCGGCTGGCCAATAACAGCCAGGCCCACAGTGACACACACACACACACACACACACACCCCGGGTGGGGGGGACGTACAAAACTGCCCGAGAGCCAGGCCCAGTATGTCCCCCTCCCTCCTTCCCTGCTTGGCCTGGGGTTCAGTGTTCAGCCCCAGCCTGGGACCCAGGGCTGGCCAGGACCCCAGGCTGGAGTCCAGCACCCCATCTGTGCCCTGCCTGGGACACGGAGATCCATCCTTAGCACCTTGGAATTGAGCAAGATGCCCGAAGCCTCCCCTCAGCCCAGTCCCACAGGGCCTGACTTTTGCAATAGCAGTCTGCTTCCCCCGATCCTCTAGGCCAGGCCCTGCAGGCCACACCCCAACACCCCTGCCACTGGGAGGCAGGGGGGCTGGGTGGGGGTGTCATGCCCCAGCCCCCAGGGTGGGAGCGCCTGTTCCACACCCCATGTCTACTGAGGCCCCCTACCACAGCAAGAATTCTCCGGCGGTTCCCTGTGCCCCAGAAGCCTGGTCTCTCCTGCCCTCCAGTTCTCGGTGCTAGGAGGAAGCCGCCTTCCACGGGAGGGGCACCCTTGTCCCAAACTGGGAAAAGCCGAGAGGGGCAGGCCAGGGGAGAAAGGGCTTTCCCCATCAGCTCCCTGCCCCTCCCTTCCAAGCCCCCACCACCTGCCTGTCCCCAGAGCCTGGGGCAGGTGCTCCTGGGACCAGGGGATTCTGTCTTTAAAGAGTAAAGGTCAGGAAGAAAGCGGTCTGTGCACCTGGCGGGATGCCTGTTTTCACGGGGACCCTGGGACACTCAGGGCCCTGCAGGGCGAGGAAGGCCGGCTGAGCCATGAGCAGGCAGCCTTCCTCTGTGGTTTCCGGTGCGGCCCCACCCACCTCACCTGAGGCTGGGGTGGAGGCCCAGGGGTCTTTGTCCCTCCACATCCAAAGGGTTTCTGGGGCCCTGGCGGACACTCAAGGTCCAGTGCAGCACTGGAGCCTGCCTTCGGTCGTGCCGGCCGGCAGTCTGCTCCAGCACAGCCCTTCCTCTGACACCTCAGGAGCTGTCCCATCCCTTCTCAGGAGAGAGCCCGAGGCCCAGCTGGAGCACGGGATCTGCTGGGACATCACCTCCAGGAGGATGCGGGACACAGGTCCCCACCCCACTTCCCCCTGGACACACCCAGAGGGGTCTGGGCCAGAGGAGTGAGCAGCCAGGTGGGCCCTGCTGCAGTTGGGGCAAACAGGGTCTTCAGGTGCAGCTCCCTGCTGGGATGTTTCCACCTCAGGCAGCTCCTCCAGCAACCCCAGGCAGCCAGGCTGGGGTATCCCCTAAACAGCCATGCTGAGCCAGCAAGGGGGCGGAGACCCATCAGGCCTGTGACTGCCCTGGGAGGAGCCTGGTGCAGCTGAGATGCCTCAGCCCCGCTGGCCACAGAGCTGTGTGTGGCCAACTGGCTGGACTGCAGCCAGAGCTCCAAGCACAGCCTCTGGCATCACAGAGCTTGCCCCAGGCACCCAAGACCACCCGGACCCTGGGTCAGCCCCTGCCTCGGCCCCCTGGCCCAGGCCCAGGCCACCAAATCCTACATAAACAGGCCTAGTTGCCATAGCAAAGCCACACGCACTTCCTGTGACGTTCCCTTAGCACGTCTTTTCCATCCCAAACAGGCAGGGTGTGATGGTGGGGGCCCCTGGGGCTCTCCCTTGGAACCTCCACAGGCCTCCCTTCCCTCCCAGCAACCGGCCCGGCCTCCGCCCTCACCTCGTCTCTCCCTGCTCTCTGCGCCCACAGCCCCAACTTATCAGAGGCCTCCTAACTGGCTTCCCCTCCCCAGGACTCTGCCCCTTTGCACCCCCCGCCAGCTCCAGCCTTTCCAACCCTGGCCACGCTGCTCCAGCACCCACAGCTCCCTCTGCTGGAGGGAGGGCCGGGCTCTAACCCCTCTTCACGTTGCCCCACTGCCCCTTAGGGGCTGCCACCTAGTCACCTCTCATGGCTGTCTGTGGTATGGGGACCTGGCCCAGTGTGGGGGAAGTCCAGAGGGCTTCCCGGAGTAAAGGGCTGGCCAGATACAGTGCAGGGAGAGCATTCTGGGGCATAGGAAGAAATGGCATCTGTCCTGTCTCAGCACCCAGCTACAGGGCCACGACCGGGAAGCTCGCTCCTGTGCCCACCTTCCTCCTTCATCAGCCCCACCCAGCTGCACCCTCCTCCAGGGAGCAACCACTCGGCTCCTGCTCAGGACCAGCACACTGGGGACCCTGGGGACACCTGTCAAAAGCCAAGGGAGGGCTGGGCGCTGTGGCTCACGCCTGTAATCCTAGCTCTTGGGAGGCCGAGGCGGGCGGATTGCTCAAGGTCAGGAGTTCAAAACCAGCCTGAGCAAGAGCGAGACCCCGTCTCTACTATAAATAGAAAGAAATTAATTGGCCAACTGATATATATATAAAAAATTAGCCGGGCATGGTGGCGCATGCCTGTAGTCCCAGCTACCTGGGAGGCTGAGGCAGTAGGATCACTCAAGCCCAGGAGTTTGAGGTTGCTGTGAGCTAGGCTGACGCCACGGCACTCACTCTAGCCTGGACAACAAAGCGAGACTCTGTCTCAAAAAAAAAAAAAAAAGCCAAGGGAGGCCGGGCGTGGTGGCTCACACCTGTAATCCTAGCACTCTGGGAGGCAGAGGCAGAAGGATTGCTTGATCTCAGGAGTTCAAGACCAGCCTGAGCAAGAGCGAGACCCCATCTCTACTAAAAATAGAAATTAATTGGCCAACTAAAAATATATAGAAAAAATTAGCCAGGCATGGTGGTGCATGCCTGTAGTCCCAGCTACTCGGGAGGCTGAGGCAGGAGGATCGCCTGAGCCCAGGAGTTTGAGGTTGCTGTGAGCTAGGGTGATGCCATGGCACTCTAGCATGGGCAACAGAGTGACACTCTGTCTCAAAAAAAAAAAAAAAAGCCAAGGGGTTGGTGGGTCCCTTTCCAGGGTCCCTCCTGTGTGAGCCAGTCACAGGGCATGGTGAAGTCCTAGGTGCCTACCCACCGGTAAGGCCAGGCTGGTGGGGACCCAGATTCAGAGCCAGATACACCCAGCCAACAGCTCTTGTGCTGGAACTGTGCTGGAACTTCACACACAGGTGTCTGTCATGGAGACAGTATAGCACAGTGGCCAAGGCCACAGGCACCAGACAGACATGGTTCAAATCTTACTGTTGCCCCTTAACAGCCACGTGACTCTGGGCCTGGGGTTTCTCATAACACTAGAGGTGGTACTAGTAGAGATGGACCCAGATCTGGAAAGAATCAGGAAGACGACACACGAGTCAAGTGGGAGAGCTCCACAGACAGCAGCTCCTCCGTGACAGCCACAGCTGGAGGCTGAGATAGGCCAGGAAGCCCACCCAGGGACACGCCACCAGCAAGAGGTGACACCAACTGGCCAAGCCCCATTCTTTCTGCTTCCTCCACTGCTGCCACAAACCTAGAAGCCCCACAGGGTGGTGCATGGCCCCACACCAAGCTGGGGAGCAGCCACATGCAGCATGTGTGCTGATGGTGCCCCCAGGCTGGCAGACCCTGCAGCTGTATCTTCTTCCCACTCCCCAGGCCCTTCAGCCAGCCAGGTAGCCAAGGGTCACGCTACTGGGGGCTCTTGTGCTGGGGAGGGGGGCACACTGACAGCTAAACACAAGTCTGATCCTGGAGGTGCGAGGAGCCTATGGGGGAGGCAGGCGGACAGAGGGTCAACATCTCGCGAATCTCATTCACTCTCTCTGAGAGACTTTTCAGTGGGTGCTGAAGACCCTGATCTTTTCTACTCAGTCCCACAAATATCTTGACAGTTACACACAGTGGAAGTCATGTCACAGGAACGGCTCAGGTTGGGGGCCCCTTCTTCCTGGGCAGTCACCTCTCTCAGCTTGGCTGCCCATATCCCTGCTCCCCTCCGAGGGAGAGTCTGGCTTTCTGGAGAGACTGTAGCTATAGGATGCGGGAACCTTGGGACATGGGGACCAGGGCTTCTGTGGAAAACATGAAGACCCAGAGCAGTGCAAGTAGGCATTTACATCAGAGAGGCAATGCCTGCCACACAGGTCCTCAGGGAAGGGGTCTGGGAAGGGGAGGCCACAAGCCTGGGGAAGGCTAGGGGGCAGGCAGCCCAGAGAGGGCTTGTGTGTCCCCAGGGAGGGGTCTGAGAGGTGGTGAGAAAGGTGGGCAGACAGTCCAGGCAGCATGGTGCTCCTATGGAAGCGAAGGAACAAGCAGGGTGCAACCCCACCCTGCTCTCTGAGAGCAGCATGGGACCCAACAGGACCCACACCTGGACCTGAGCCCCAGCCCCCACTGACCACCCTGGCCTGGCTCAGGACAACCATGCCTGGACAGCTGGACCCCAATGGGGACTAAGAGGTTGGCCCAGCCTTCTCATACTCTCCCACTTCCCCAGTGAACCCCCAAGTCCGATCTCCACATGTGATAAGGCTGTCTACTACACCGAGATCTGCTCCTGCCTCTCCTGTGCTTCAAGTCCTCCAACAGCCTGGTTGTCAGCACCATAAAATCCCTACCTTGCACCGTGTGAACCTCCCCTGGCCTCATCCACTTCCTCACTCAACTCCACCACTGGCGATACTCACTGGGGTATGCCAAGGCCTTTTTTACCCAAGGCCTTTGTACCTGTGGCTCCCTCTGCCTGGAATGCTCTTCCCGCAACATCCCAGGATTGGCTGCTTCTCCATCGGATCTTTGGCTAACCGTAGCGCTGCCACCCCCCCTCGCTTTCTCAGTACCCTGTTTTTTTCTGTCATAGCACCTCTCACTCACTGCTCCTTGGAATTTCGTCTGGCCATTGTCAGTCCCTCCACGCCATTTCTCTAGACCAGGAGACATTTGCCAATGTCTGGAGACATTTTTGTTGTCACAACGGCAGGGGGATGTGTTGACTGGTATCTAGTGGGTAAAAGCCAGGGATGGTGCTCAACATCCTACAATGCACGGCCAGCCCCTCGCAGCAAAGAATGACCCGGCCGGAACTGTCAAGAGCGCGGAGGGTGAGGAACCCTGCACCAGACCATGAGCTTATGAGACCTGGGATCGTGTTCTCCGCAGTCTCCCGGCGCCTAGAACCGTGCATGGCACCCAGTGAATGCAGGAAAAAGGAACGAATAAAGAATGAGAGAAAGAGGGAAGGAGCAAGCGACGGACGAGCTGACAGGCAGGGAGACTGACCGACGCAGAGACCCTGGACGTCCAGCCCCGCCCCCCAGCCCAAACCTCCCCCACGCCGGCCCCGACGCGCCCGCCTGGCCCCACCGCGCTGCCTCGAGGCGCGAGCCCCGATCCGGGCGCGCCGCACGGACACTCACCCGCCCGCAGCCGCCCTGGAGCGGCAGCGCCACCCTCCCGCTTCATGGTGCCCCTAGACAGCCGGCCGGGAAATGGACAGAAGCGCGAGCCGGAAGTGCTCGAGCGCTGCGCCCGCCGGGACTTGTAGTTCCGCGGCTCACGAGGCCCGAGCAGCTGCCTCACGAGCAGCGCTTCGGAAACTACGACTTCCGGCGGCCCCGTCGCCGCGGGGCGGGATTGGCGGCTTCAGAATCACTCTATGTTGCAGTTCGGAGTCTGATTGGCTGTATCTATTTGTCGCTCACCGCTCGGCGCAAAGGACTCTGCAAAAGGAGGAGCTTCGGGTCACCGCCTGAGAGACCACCTCCCTAAAGAAATGCCATGGCACGATTGGTGGAAACAAAGCTATAGAGAGTGGAGCGTATCAGCGGCAAGGGAAGGCGGGCACTTCCGCTAGGATTGCCCAATCACGGAGGTGATCTTGTTTCTATAAAGGCTTGAGCCTCGCGCGCGCTCAGTCTTTTGGGATTAAGAACGAGATAAAGTATGCTGTTGTTTCGTCCTGATTTTTCACAATTCAGGGACCAGTTGGGCTCCCGGTGGGGTTTCGAGGGTAGCCCGTACCTTGCAAGACTTTGCTGGACAAAAGCCCTGGCCTCAGCTCGCCTTGGCCCTGAGAGTTTAAACGTCTCTTCCCGAGTTTCAGACCGTCAGCGCCCTGCAGGTAAGACTGGGCCAGGCCTGTTTTCCGCGCTATAGCTCCGAGCCTGTGATGAATTGCTTTAATTTCTGACACCTCGTATGAAAACTGCACGTGCAGTCTGATTATTTTGCAAGACTGAGGCTTGTGGTGCGCACCTTTGGTGGGAGGGTTTGGGAGTGAAAAAGAGTCTTAACCGAAATGGGGAAGAGGAGACTCTGTCTACATTTCGGTGCTGTCTGACTTTCAGGACCGACGTGAGCCGGCAGCAGATCTTGAATCTGAATCAACCTTAATCCAGAGGCCCAGCAGGCAGGAGGGCCTGGTGGTAAGGCAGACGCGCTGTTTCTATCTGAACTGGTTAGAAATAAAGTAGCGGCAGTGAGTTTGTTAGGTAGGGCTAGGGGCATGCAGGCGACAAGGGGAGGTGGCCAGGGGTAAGGACTGATAAATCAGAATAGAGAAACCATAACAGCAGGAACTTGAGGTTAGGGATCTTTTCTGACTGGGGGCATGCGCAAAAGCTAGGAGTTCATGACAGAAAGTAAACTTTCTCATTAGCTTAGTAAAATTCACATCCCCTGCTGATAGGCAGAGTTAGTGGTTGCTGAGGCCAGCCACTTCCGCCATGATTGCCCTACATGAGGGCTCCTCAAACTATGGCCCACAGGCCACATGCCGCCCACCGAGGACAATTATCCGGCCCGCTGGGTGTTTTTGCTGCCGCTGCCTGTCCTGCTTAGCAGCCAACTCGTCCTGGGCCAACAGTGCCCATGTGTGAAATGTGCGTTGCCCTCTCTGACTCCCCTCCTCTTTGTCTCTTGACTCCTCTCAGTCTCAGGGTGTGATCGGAGGAGTCACGAGCTTGCCTGTGCAGAGCCTGCTGCTGTCTGAGGACAGAGGTAAGAACAAGTTAGGATTAACTTATTTTTTTTTAAGTTAGGAGGTGTATTTTTTTTTTATTTTGCAGTTAAGGGGGGGGGGCTTTTTCCCTGAAGTTAGGAGGCTTTTTTTTTGCAGATGGGGGGGCGCCTTTTTTTTTTTAAGTTGGTTGGTTGGAGGTGGTTTCTAAGGGGTTGCATCACAGTGGTAACGCAAATAGCTCTCAGTGCTAATGCAAATGGTCAGTGCTCGGTGGTAATGATATCTATAAGTGCTCAGTAGTAATGCAAATGGTCAGTGGTCAGTGTTAGCGCATGGGTGCCCCAAACTGGTAATCTGCCTAGGGCCCCATGGGAACTTAATCCGGCTCTGCAGACAGCCGAGGAGTAGGAAACCCAATTTAATTGACAGTAAGTACGTTTATATTCGGATTGCTGTTGAGTTGTGTATGATGTTGTATGTTGTGTGCTGTGTAAGCCCTGGTTCACACTTGCAATCTGAGCCGTGCAACTTCAGCCATATGTTTATATGGCTAAACTCGCATTAGATTCGGAAGAAAAGGCATACAGGAAGGAAGAAAAGGAAGAAGGCATACATGCCTTCTTTTTTCCTGCAGTGGAATCTGATCGCATGGGTCTTCTCACCCAGGCAATCAGATTCCTGTGCGAGTTCACAGATCGCAGTACGGTTCACATAGGGTAGTGTGAACTGGAAAGGTGTTGGAGGAACCGGCTCTGTAATCCTGCTGGTGCCCGCACCTCGCCAGTGTGAGCCTGAGGTAAAAGCGCAGTTCTTCCAATATGGGCACTGGTGAGGCTGCATCGATGGACACTGATCAGACTGTATTGATGGGTAGTGCAGTGTATATGTCTCTGTATGGGCAAAGTTATTGCTGGTATATTGTTTTTGTAGCACTTTATATATGTATATAGATAGATATTTTACTGATGTCAGGGTGTTCCACCAAAACCTGCCTGCTTTGCTTATCTCACTCCTGATTGAGCCGCTGCTAATGCTCACAGCTGATTGGATCATACTTCTGATTGGCTGGCTACTATGTAAATGAGGTGACTTTTGTGAGAACTTGTGACTGGCTAACTGTAACTCCCAAGAAGGTATAAAACTAAAAGAAAACAAAGCGGCGCTCAAGAGTTTGGTGGCAGATATGCCTCTCTGAGCCCGCCAGCGAAATAAAGCTGACTCTCCAACTCTCCGTGTGCCACTCGGTCAATAGCTGTTACACTCGTTGTTAACACTTGTCCCTGGCCAAGAAACCTGACCTCCCTGGCCTGTTGAGCCACTGGTTCTGGACGGGCATGGCAGACGGCAGGACCTCCCCAACAGAGCCAAGCCAGCGCCGAACTGCCATTTGCGGGGCCGCCTGCCGGGGCTGCTATCTTGCCCAGATACAGTGGAAATGCGTACCGGTTAAGCAACAACCAGGAGGTCGGACAAGGTAAGATCCAGGGACCTGACCCAGGGAGGCCTGCTGGTCTGGCAGAAGAGGAGCTTGATTACCTCCTAAGAGTTAGGGATAACCCAGTGGGTGGAAATGCACTACCTCTGTGTGCATGTGAGGGAGAGCAACTTGGTGACTGCTTGAGGCCACTGATTCTGTGGCCCCATGGCTTTAGCTGTGGAGCATGAGTGGGTCCTAACCTGCAGTTCTGTGGTGGCGTTGTAGGGCATAACAGCGATCCACTCCCTGTAAGAGGGAGTGGCCGGACTTTATACTGGTACATCTTAGCCAAGATGCACCTAAGCTCCCACCAGGGATGCAGCCAGGCGGACACCTGAAAGGAACACCACCCCTTGTCTGTCTTGCGGCTCCGTTCATGACGGAAGGGGAGGTGCTGAGGCACAGGTGACACCTAGGCAGGAACCGGAGGGGAGGAAGGGGCACTGTTGGTGGCGTAGAGGGTGAGAGCGTTGGAACGCCTAGTTAAGCCATGGACGGGTCTGAGTCAAAACCAACAGTTCTAAAGTGCATGGTAAAAAAATCTTGAAGGGATTTCAAGGGGATTATATAGTCAGCATGACCCCAGGCAGGCTAAACCGTGTGTGAACTGGAGTGGCCCACCTTCAGATTAGGATGGCCTATGGAAGGCACTCTAGGTCTGTCAAAAGTTGAGGCTGTGTGGCAAGTTGTCACAGGATCCCCCGGACATCCAGACCAATTCCCTTATATAGATTCTTGGCTAGAGATTGCCCAAACACAACCCCTTGGGCTCGGTTCTGCATCAGGGACAGAGCAGGGTGTGGTGGCTCAAAAGGCACGACACCCAAAGGCAAAGCCCATCTATCAGGGCGACTCAATGGAAGATCTACCACCACCATACAACCCCATTGCCACTCCCTCCCAACTGGCCCCAACATGCTGCCTCCTCCGGAACCTGTGAGCCCTCTGTCTGTAAGCCCACCCCAGGAGGAGCCCCCAAGGAGTTCCTCCCAGGTAGAAGGGACTCCCCTAGCGTGCCGGCTGCGTTCCAACTGATCTACCCTCCAGATGCCTCTGCTCAAAAGTTCAAGAACTAGGCCAGGCGCGGTGGCTCACGCCTGTAATCCTAGCTCTCTGGGAGGCCGAGGCGGGCGGATTGCTTGAGGTCAGGAGTTGAAAACCAGCCTGAGCAAGAGCGAGACCCCGTCTCTACTATAAATAGAAAGAAATTAATTGGCCAACTGATATATATATATATATATGTAAAAAATTAGCCGGGCTTGGTGGCACATGCCTGTAGTCCCAGCTACTTGGGAGGCTGAGGCAGGAGGATCGCTTGAGCCCAGGAGTTTGAGGTTGCTGTGAGCTAGGCTGACGCCACGGCACTCACTCTAGCCTGGGCGACAAAGTGAGACTCTGTCTCAAAAAAAAAAAAGTTCAAGAAACCACTCAGGTCCAGGAAGATGGCACCCCCCCAGCCGGGCCAGCCCGTCATGTACTACCAACCCTTCTCCATCCATGATGGACCTCCTGAGATGGAAGCACCACACTCCATCATATTCGGAGAAGCCACAGGCACTCATCGACCTCCTAGAGTCAATCTTTCAGACCTACCGGCCAACCTGGGAAGACTGCCAACAATTCCTGTTGACACTCTTCACTAGGAACGGTGATAGATCCTGGCCGGAACCAGGAGATGGCTGCAAGATCAGGCACTGGGAGACGTCCCGAGCGGCACTGGAAGTCCATCTCGATTGGAACTTCAACACACTGGAGGGGCGAGCAGCCCTAGGTCAGTACCGAGAGACCCTTCTGCAGGGGGTGTGAGAAGGGGCCAAGAAACCAACATGAATAAGGTCGCCCTCATAACTCAGCGACTTTTACAAGTGCCTGTGCAAAGCATATAGAGTGTACACCCCTTTTGACCCAGAAGCAGCCGAGAATCAGAGAATGGTGAACACTGCATTTGTCGGACAGGCAGCCCTAGGCATTCTGAGAAAGCTGCAGAAGTTGGAGGGATTCATGGGAATGAACATCACCCAGTTGGTGGAAGTGGCTCAGAAGGTGTATGTCATTTGGGCTCGGATGGCACAGAAGGAAAAGGCCAAGCTCCTGGCTGCAGCCATGGGCCGGCCGGATCCATCCATGCCCCCAAGGAAAGAGGGAGCTAGGAGGCGAGTGTCCCTAGTAAGGGATCAGTACGCTAACTGCAAAGGATTTGGCCATTGGAAGAATAAGTGCCCTCAAACGGAATTGCCCGCTGCCTGAAAGGGGCTCCATGTGAGACCACTCGACAGATCGGAGGCCCAGGACCTGATAGGACTCCTGGCATAGACTCCAACTAGGGCCGACCAGGTTCACTCATACCAGCCGGGAGACCAACTCTGGGTCAAAGATTGAAAACGGGAACCCTCAGAACCCACATTAGGGGGCCCTATATTGTGATGTTGGTTACTCCCACTACTGTTAAAGTTGCAGGTGTAGCACCATGGATCCACCACATCCGAGTAAAGCGGGCTGAGACGAGCGACGCGACTGGTCCCTGGGCAGCGAGACCAGACCCACAAAACCCACTAAAACTCCAACTCTGACGACAACTTGCCAGACCAAGCTCCGCCAAGACAGACAAGAAAGGGAAAAGCTAAACAGGACTGCTGACATTGACTCGAATTATTGTCGGACTACTGACCGTCCTTTTGGGACTTGGACTTTGGGCTGTGGCTCCAAAAGACTGTTCTATACTGCAAACATGTGCCCTGGTCACTTTTTATTTTGGCTATATGGGATGTTTGTGGGCGTACTGTTCCTGTAGAGGGTCTTTACAGCTGTAGCCATTGACTGCCCTCAGGAGTGCTACAGCATTGTAAATGCGCTAGGACAGAGGGCCTCAGGGAATAGCAAATGGTTCAACTCAGTCACCCACTTTGACCACTCCTGCTATATTCAGGGCACAGAATGCATGTATAACGGTAAAAAAATACCATACAGGGACAATCACAGGCTCACTGGGCTCCTGCTCCAGTTATTAAAGGTGAAGCATGGTTTGTTGGACCTATTATGGTCATACCAGAATAACAGACGGAGGAGGAGCCCAAGACCAGGCTAAAGAAAACTTAAAAAGAGAGGTCAAGACAGAGCTCATCATTAACACAAAAACCATACCAAAGGCCAGACTTCACAGGAGTGAGAAAGCTCACCGAACCCATCAAGGTTTCCCATAAGATAGCCAGATTCCTTGACGCAACCTTAGTAGCTCTGCCCAATGTTGGGTCTGCTTGCCGCTCCAAGAGCGAGTCTACATCAGGTCCCAGTACCTCCAACTTGGGTAAATAACACCAGTCTGAGCTCAGACAGCAATCAAACTGCCTTAGTAGGCCCTGTAGCATACAGTGTCCAGCTGGCAATTACAGGAACCACAAACATAACCTGCTGCCAAAATCCTGGAGAAACCAACGGCAGGGGGATTACCCCAGGAAATGTGTTCCTGTAATCTGACCTTATCTGAAAATTGTGCCACCCGTGCCCCAGAGGGATTGTTCTTTCTCTCTAGAGCCACGGCATACCAATGCTGGCCCAGCCACTGGACAGGTACTTACTTGGGTGTTGATTTTCCTTACCCCAGATGTCTCTTTTTTTTAATTTCAGCATATTATGGGGGTACAAATGTTAAGGTTATGTATATTATTGCCCGTGGCCCCCTCCCACCCGTCCAACACCCAATAAATATTCCTGTATGTCCACTTAGGTGTTGATCCGTTAATACCAATTTGCTGGTGAGTACATGTGGTGCTTGTTTTTCCATTCTTGAGATAACTTCACTTAGTAGAATGGGTTCCAGCTCTATGCAGGAAAATAGAAGAGGTGCTATATCACCATTGTTTCTTATAGCCAAATAGTGCTCCATGGTATACGTATACCACATTTTATTAATCCACTCATTGATGGGCACCTGGGTTGTTTCCACACTGTTGCTATTGTGAACTGTGCTGCTATAAACATTCGAGTGCAGGTGTCCCATTTGTAGAGTGTCATTTGATCTTTTGGGTAGATGCCCAGTAGTAGAATTGCTGGGTCAAATGGTAGATCTACTTGTATCACTTTAAGGTATCTCCATGTTGCTTTCCACAGAGGCCGAACCAGTTTGCAGTCCCACCAGCAGTGTAGGAGTGTTCCTATCTCTCCGCATCCACGCCAACGTTTATTGTTTGGGGACTTTTTGATAAAGGCCATTCTTACTGGAGACAAATGATATCTCATTGCCATTTTTTTGGTTTTTTTTTTTTTTTTTTGAGACAGAGTCTCACTTTGTTGCCCAGGCTAGAGTGAGTGCAGTGGCGTCAGCCTAGCTCACAACTCCTGGGCTCAAGCGATCCTTCTGCCTCACCCTCCTGAGTAGCTGGGACTACAGGCATGCGCAGCTAATTTTTTCTATATATATTGGCCAATTAATTTCTTTCTGTTTAGAGTAGAGACAGGGTCTTGCTCTTGCTCAGGCTGGGGTTTTTTTTTGTTTTTTTTTTGAGACAGTCTCACTTTGTTGCCCAGGCTAGAGTGAGTGCCATGGCATCAGCCTAGCTCACAGCAACCTCTTTCTATTTAGAGTAGAGACAGGGTTTCGCTCTTGCTCAGGTTGGTTTCGAACTCCTGAACTCAAACGATCCACCCACCTCGGCCTCCCAGAGAGCTAGGATTACAGGCCTGAGCCACCGCGCCCGGCCTCATTGCAGTTTTGATTTGCATTTCCCTGATGATTAGAGATGTTGAGGATTTTTTCATATGTTTGTTGGCCTTTATTCTGTCTTTTGAAAAATTTCTGTTCATGTCCTTTGCCCAGTTTTTGATAGGGTTGTTTGATTTTTTTCTTGCTGATTTTCCTGAGTTCTAAATAGATTCTAGTTAGCAACCCTTTATTGGATATATAGCTTGGGAAAATTTTCTCCCATTCTGTGGGTTGTCTGTTTGCTCTCTTGACAGTTATTTGGCTGTGCAGAAGCTTTTTAATTTGATCGGTCCCATTTTATTTTTGTTGCTGCTGTGATTGCCTTTGGGGTCTTCTTCATAAATTCTTTGCCTAGGCCAATGTCTAGAAGAGTATTTCCAACGTTTTCCTCTAGAATTCTAACAGAGATGTCTCTGTCTTTCAGGAAGAGGAAAGTCAAACCCGGAGCAAACGTGCCCTACTAGCCTCAATACTCATAGGAGGAGGGATAGCAGCCGGCACAGGCACAGGAACGAACCGCCGGCCTGGGGACCTCATTGGGTCTGTACTACAAGCTATCCCGAGAACTTACTGAAGACATGGAACAGATATCAGATTCCTTGTTATCCCTCCAGAGCCAGCTAGATGCACTGGCGGCAGTCACGCTGCAAAATAGGTGACCGCTCGATCTCACTGCAGAAAAGGGGGAACTTGTGTATTCCTTGGAGAAGAGCGCTGTTACTGTGTAAATCGGGTCGTCACTGCACAGTAAGGGAACTGAAAGAGGCTTCAAAAGAGAAAACAAGAACTAAACTCAGGATGGGGCCTTGGTCTGGGCCAGTGGTTACTTCCTTGGTTACTTCCTTTGGCAGGACCACTGATAACAATCCTATTGGTAACTATAGGCCCATGCCTACTCGGCACCCCAATAAAGTTTACAGAGACAACAGTAACTCAAAGGGCCACAGCCCGTATAATGGCCCCACGAGGCTATCACCCCTTAAGTAGCAATCCTTTAGAAGTTGATGCTCCTGTCTAGAGGCAAAAGAAGCATCAAAGGGGGGGAATGTCAGGGCGTTCCACCAAAACCTGCCTGCCTCGCTTATCCTACTCCTGATTGAGCCGCTGCTAATGCTCACAGCTGATTGGGTGATTTTGGATCATACTGCAGAATGGAAGTGGCACCTTGCCTTTCTGACAGATGTAACAGAGCTACTCAACAGTTTCAGTGTGCAACTTCAAGGAAAGGGGAAGCTCATCTGTGATATGTAAATCACATGTGAAAGCATTTGAAGTAAAATTAAGCCTCCTCATCAAACAAGTGAAGGAGGAAAATTTCTGCTATCTCCCCACAACTCAAAATCTGTTAGCAGAAAAACCATTGGTTGTATTCCCAAACAAAATGTGTGGATTCACTGGAAAAGTTGCAAAAGGAGTTCCAATTTAGATTTAAAGAGCTTCATCTCCATGAATAGGACATACAGCTTTTCCATAACCCATTTTCTATTGACATTGAAAATGTGGATGCAGTTTATCAAATGGAACTGGCTGAACTGCAGAATTGTGACTCTCTGAAAGACGCATTCAAGTCTTCCTAATTTCTATGTGCCTCTCCCCTCTGAGACATACCCTAATCTCAGGAACCATACACTCAAAATGGCAACCATCTTTGGCAGCACTTATGTCTGTGAACAGACTTTACAGAATGAAACATCTGAAATCTCCAACCAGACCTAGACTAACTGATGCATACAAGCACCACTTGTTACGACTAGCGGTGACAAATATAGAACCAGACATCGACCATCTCATTAGCCAAAAGCAGCCCCATAGTTCCCGTTGAAATACTGGTAAGTTTGTTGATTTAACTTTACTTGTTCTTCGTTTTAAATATTGTATTTGTTCCCGTTTTGTTTTTTTACTTAAATGAGATATGTGCAGTGTGCGTAGGATTTTGTTCATAGTTTTTTTTTTTTTTTTTTTTTAGAGACGGGGTCTCACTCTTGCTCAGGCTGGTTTTGAACTCCTGACCTTGAGCAATCCGCCCGCCTCGGCCTCCCAGAGAGCTAGGATTACAGGCGTGAGCCACCGCGCCCAGCCTGTTCATAGTTTTTTTTAAAACTATAGTCCAGCCCTCCAGAGGTCTAAGGAACAGTGAACTGGGCCTCTGTGTAAGAAGTTTGAGGACCCCTGCCCTACATTAACTGCATGTGGCGGAAAGACACCTGCCCAATCCTGCTAAACCACAGCAGGGATGTGGATCAGGAACTTTTATATCAACAACCACCTGGCCTGACCACAGCAACTATGGATCAAGAGCTTGGCGTTCTACCCAGAAACAATAAAGAACTGAACAGGGCGGGTGGGAAGGGGGTCGGCTCTCTCCTGCTTCTAAAAGTCCTCACAAAACCCCCTTCTGGGCAGACTCTTTTCGGATTCAGCCCACTTGCACCCAAGTGAATAAACCAGCCCTGTTGCTCCCATGTAGCCTGTGTGTGAGATCTGTCCTTTGGGTCATTCCCCTTTCATTTGGTGCCAAAACCTGGGGTGGGCAGCCCCTTCTCCAGACTCCGGAGGTTGGCTCCTGTCCTGACCTTTCAAGGACGCTTCTCAGGACATCTGCCCTCAGACCCATCAGCCTGCGCCGCTGCATTTCACAGTCTCGGAATCTTGGTCTTGGCTTTGGCATTAAAGTCTGTTCCTTTCCTTTCCTCACAGGGCCACCCCCTTGGCCATGCGTGTCAAACCCCAGTGTCGCTCACGGCTTCCTCAAGGGAAGACAGTCGTGCCTTTCTGTGTGACCAGTGATGGGGGTGCCCCCACCCGTAATAGCCATTTTTCAGCCCCAGGTCACAGGCTAGGACGCGTGTGTTTCCTCCGTGCTGCACTGGTGTGGTCCTTTTTCTCTCGTCTGTTTCCTGCACCCCATAATGGGAAACTTACCATCTTCTGTCCCCTTTTCTTCTCCTCTGGCCTATGTCCTTTTTGCTCTGAAGCCCCTCAGACTTTATCCTGACTTTAAGCCCAAATGCCTCATCTTTTGTAACACAGCCTCGTCCCAATATAAATTAGATGATGGGTCACTGGCCCAAAAATGCGACCTTTGCCCTCCCTATTGTCCAGATCTTGATAAGGTAACGTTTGCTGACCGGGGTAAGTGGTCCGAGCCTCCCTGTGTCCAGGGCTTTCTTTGCTGTCCACTCACAGCCCTCATCTCTCACTGCGACCCTTCTCAGCTTTTCCTTTCTTCTGCCCCTCCTCGCTCAGTCAGACCGGGACCCGCTGGACCCTGCAGATCACTTAGCCCTAGCCCTCTCCGCCCCCAGCCTGCTCCTTCCCCCCTGCACTGACTTGGCCCTAGTCATCACCTCCCCCTTCCAGGGTTGCTGGGGCAGAAGGAATCGTTTGTGTCCACATCCCCCTTTCCCTCACAGACCTCTCCCAGATCCATACGCCTGGGTGTCTTCTCAGCAGATTCCACTAAATTTATTCAGAAATTCCAGTACTTTTGCCTATCATATGATATTCCTGTCAACCTCCAAATACCCTCAGTTCCCATGAAGGTGACAGAGTGTGGGCTGACGGCCCAGTCACATGCTGACAATCAGTGGCGAGGGACCTGCCCTCGCTGAGGCCCGTGCTATTCTAGAGGACCCCCCTTTGGAGTGTCAGCACAGTTCCCCAGATCTCAGGCTCGGCCCCTGAGATCATGAGTGCCTGCCTGGTGGAAGCACTAAGAAAGGCGGCACATGAAGCCGTTGGTTCTAACCAATTAAGAGAAACAACCCAAACCCAAGATAAGAATCCTGCCCAATTCTGGGAGCGATTAGTAAGGCTATGCAGAAATTCTCTACGGACCCAGAGGGTTCCAATGGCCGACTAATCTCAAAATGCATCTCATTTCCCAGTCCGCTCCAGACCTTAAAAAGAAACTCCAAAAGCTAGACCTCGGCCCCCAAGCCCCACAGCAGGAACTTACAGTGGTGGCCTTTAAGGTCTTTAACAACGGAGGAAGTGGCCCGTAAACAAAGACTAACTGAACTGCAGATGCTTGGCTCTGCCGTCACACAGCCCAATAGCAGCAGTGCCAAAAAGACTACTAAGCCCGGTCTAGGATTCCAGAGTCCGCCCGGGCCTTGTTTCAAATGTGGCCAAAGTGGCCACTGGGCTAGAAAGTGTCTGCAGCCTGGAACTCCCCCTCTGCTGTGCCCAGCCTGCAGAGGCCCGCACTGGAAGTCTGACTGCCCCAGGCCCACTGGAGTCCACAGGGACAGCCCGTGCTGAAGCCCAACTTCCAGGGCCCCTGGCAGCTGTATCAGGATTTACTCAGACTGATGACGCCAGGAAGCCCAGCAGGCCTGTGGACCATCATGGATGCTGAGCTCCCGGTTACTGGCAGTGGAGGGTAAGTCTGTTCATTTATTTATTTATTTTGAGGCAGAGTCTCAGTGTTGCCCGAGATAGAGCGCCGTGGCATCGGCCTAGCTCACAGCAACCTCAAATTCCTGGGCTCAAGGGATCCTCTTGCCTCAGCCTCCCAAGTAGCTGGGACTACAGGCATGTGCCACCATGTCCGGCTACTTTTTTCTATATATTTTTAGTTGTCCAATTAATTTCTATTTTTAGTAGAGATGGGGTCTCACTCTTGCTCAGGCTGGTTTCGAACTCCTGACCTTGAGCAGTCCGCCCGCCTCGGCCTCCCAGAGTGCTAGGATTACAGGCGTGAGCCACCGTGCCCGGCCTAGTGCGCGGCCCCCCCTGCCTTTTTATAATAAGCCTCTAAGCAGATCTAAAATTCCTGTTGTGGGTATTGATGGCTGACCTTCTGAACCACTCCAAACCCCGTCCTTTGGTGTCACCTAGGTTGCCACTCCTTTCCACACAGATTTCTAGTTATCCCCACGTGCCCTGCTCCATTATTAGGGAGAGTTTTTTTATATATATATGTATATATATATTTAGTTGGTCAATTAATTTCTTTCTATTTTTAGTAGAGACGGGGTCTCGCTCAGGCTGGTTTCGAACTCCCATCCTCGAGCAATTCGCCCGCCTCAGCCTCCTAGAGTGCTAAGATTACAGGCGTGAGCCACCGCACCCGGCCTAGGGAGGAATATTTTAACAAATCTACTACCCTTTATGTCCCAGCGATCTCCCCTACCTGCCTTTCTAACTTCACGTTTCGTTCCTGGTCCCACGTGCCAATGTCCCAGCTGTTGACCCCCCAGATATAGGATGTTTGTAATCCCTCTCTGCACACCATCCTCCCTTCAAAATCCCCTTAAAACGTGATCACCCATACCTTGCTCAGCGTCACTATCCGATCCCCTCCCCTCTCTATTGGTTGGGCCTAAAGCCCACCATAACCAAACTCTTCTCCCATGGCCTCTGATGCATTCCGTCTCCTTACAGCACTATAGATCGTACAGACTTGTCCAGGCCCTCTGTCTCATCAACTGTTATAGTACAGCCCATTCATCCAGTGGTTCTCGACTATCCATCCGAAACCACTTGCTACACAGTCCTGATGTGAAGGATGCATTTTTCTCCATCCCTCTACAACCTGATTCCCAACCCCTCTTTGCTTTTACATGGACTGATCCCACCACCACCTTTTCCCAGCCACTTAGCTGGATGGTGTTTTCCCGGGGTTTTAGAGGGAACCCTCATTATTTTAGCCAAGCACTGTCTTCAGATCTTACCTCATACAAGCCCCGCTTGCCAACACTCCAGCATGTCGGCAATCTCCTGTTACGCAGTCCCTCCCTCTCTGTTTCTCAGGGAGACGCTGTCTTGCTCCTCTGACATCTTTTCTCTAAAGCCTGCAGAGTTTCTCCTTCCAAAGCACAAATATCCCAACCCACAGTTTCCTATCTAGGCGTCATCCTCCAGGGAAACCAAAAATTGCTCCCTGAGGCAAAACTCCAGGAAATCAACGCCTGCCCCCTCCCTCCACAAAACAGGATCTCCTCATTCCTTGGACCTGTCAACTATTTCAGACTTCGGATACCTGGTTTCTCACTCCTTGCCAAGGAAATCTCTAGGAACCCATTGACCCAGCCTCCTTTCCCTGCATCCCTTCCAGCACCTCCGCAGTGCCCTCTTTAGCTCTGCCTGACCCCTCCCGGCCCTTTTTCCTCTTTTATTTTGAAAGACTGGGGGGTCCTTGTCCATACCCTTTCCCTCAAAACAGCTAGATCTTACCGCTCAGGGTTGGCCAGCTTGCCTGCAGCCTGCGGCAGCACCTGCTACCCTGATATTAAAAGCCTTTAACCACTTTGGTACGAGCGTCAACTACAGTCGATAGCCACAGATGAAGACACACGGCCGAGGGTCGACTTTAGTCTATAATTTTGAATTGACTTTTCTAATTTTTCATTTATCAAAATAAAATTGTGAATATTTAAAAATAACATAATGAAAACATAATGCATGTTACCTCTTCTGATTTACATTACACCAAAGCTGCCTATAAAGTAAAACAAGCTTTCAGTGCTTTAAAGCTTTCCTCATCACACAAGAGCAAAACCGATTCGTTGTCAACGCATAGCAGAAAGTACCGTGCGGACTATGAGTTTCGAGGCAAGGTTTTGAGGCCGCTGAGTGCAGTACCAAAGTGTTAAATACTCTCTGTGTCCCCCCATCCATGTATTCCTCCCATCATCTTCCAAGCTTAATTAATTTCTCTCTCCTCCATCCTTACTGCCCCTAAACTCCTACAACACTTTGCTCTGTTTTGTGAAACCCCCATCTTCACCATTAAACCTGGCCCTGATTTCAACCCAGCAACGAAGAGTTGCCAATCTCATCCCAATCCCCTCATCCACTGACATTACCTGGCTGGAAAACTAGTTCTGGTAAAAGACCTCACTCCCTGGCCTCTCAAGCCGGGGTGGGACGGCCCCTTTAGGGTCCTTTTTGGTGTCCCGCTGCAGCCCGCCTGGGGAACCGGCTGGTGGGTCCACAGATCTCAGCTGAAGCTCAGCCCGACCATCCCGGGTGGAAATCGCAAGTGTTCTCCCCAACCTCCCTGAAACTCACAAAAATCCTAGAGTAATCTTCATGAGCTCTTCTTTCCTCTCGCCAAGGTTTCAAGGCTTCCCGATTGCCATTTGCCAGGAACTAACATGGTTTAAACCCAAACACTAGATATTGATGGCCTTGACTGGATCGGGGACCTTGCAGGACTGCTGCTCAGAGGAAGTCCCCTTCTGTCCTTTCACTCATTCCTGTACTCACGCTGGCGCCTCTGTAACCTCTGCCCATGCCTGCCCCCCTCTGTCAAGACCCAAACAGCTATCAGACGCGTTTCAATCCACAGCCCTTCTTAATTTGTCCAACTGCTACTTGTGCATGGATGGCTGTGAGACCCTCGAGGCCACACCTCTCCCCTTCCAATTCTGGATGACCTTAAACTTCACCTTCCTCCCCCACACTGCCCTTAATGCATCCTACCCTGCACCCCCACACACAAAAACTGCTCCTCCAACAAATTAAAGACAATCTGTTCCCGTCAGCCACAGCTGGCACCAAGAGCTCTCCAGCCCTGCAGTAATTTGCTTTGAAAGTTACTCGACCCATTTTGGACCTTTCTGGGCAATTTATCATCCCACGGATGCAACCATACCATCATTATAAAACAGATCTGACCAAGAAGTCCCCCGCCACCTCTCATCCTCACCTGTAGCTAAAACAGCAAAACCCCTTTTTAACCTGCAAAATACCACCTCCTAAGTGGAATCCTCCCTATGGCTACATCAGCCTTTTGCCAACACCCCCCACCACCACCACCCTGTTCTCATTTCTCCCTTAGTTCACAAAGCCCTCTTCATTGTGCTTGTTCATAGACCACCCAGCCAATGACAGCAAGATCCACCGATCCCCACACTCTGGGCGCAAAACTTTCCTGTTAAAACCAAACTGCCCAGCGCGGTGGCTCATGCCTGTAACCCTAGCACTCTGGGAGGCTGGGGCAGGAGGATCCCTCAAGGTCAGGAGTTTGAAGCCAGCCTGAGCAAGAGTGAGACCCCATCTCTACTAAAAATAGAAAGAAATTAATTGGGCAACTAAAAATACATAGAAAAAATGAGCCAGGCATGGTGGCGCATGCCTGTGACCAGCTACTCGGGAGGCTGAGGCAGGAGGATTGCTTGAGCCCAGGAGTTTGAGGTTGCTGTGAGCTAGGCTGACGCCACAGCACTCTAGCCATGGCAACAAAGTGAGACTCTGTCTCAAAAAAACACCCAAACTCACCAACAAGTCTCCCACAGTTTCCCTAGCAGAACTCGCCCTTTGGACAAAGTCCCTCGGAACCAACTACCCTTACGTAGCAGGTAACAGCCACTGGAATCTCGCCTGCCCAAAACAAGGCATCAGGCCTCTCAGTCTTACCACCCGTGTGGAGAGGACGCTGCCACCCAACTTTCCTTGCCCCTCCATCTGCTGAGGGCCTGCCAGTCTGTCCTGGCCAACAACCCCGTTTCTTCCTCCCCTGTGACAAAGAAGGAAGGAGCTGTGGTGGCCATTGCCAGTACAGACTCACTCTCCTGGCAACCTCGGGCCTCCCGTTGGGGACGCCGGCATTGTACCTTCAATAGCGAATGTCACAGCACACCACGGGGGCCCTGACAGCTCTCACCAGCCAGGCCCACTCTCTCGCCCAGGGCGCCCTTCAAAACAGACGAGCCCTTCATCTCCTGATCTATTGGGGGAAGAATGCCGCTACTCTATCAACAACACGGGACACATGCAAAATCATCTAGACAAAGCACAAAACTCCGTGAAAGCCCGAGATAATTATGCTCTAATTGGATGTCCTCCCTTTGGTCTCAGCTGGAAACCTGGTTGTGGTCACTTCTTATCCTGCTAGTATTATGATCAGAAAACTGCCGTCCCCTTGTACAACTCACCACACTCTGTATCCACAAAACTGCTTTACCGTCACTGATAAAGCTTATCCATAATGCTTTCTCCTCGTCCCTGTTCCTCTTCATGTGCCAGCCCCCATGTCCCCAACCCGCCTCTTCTCTGCCCCCCCTCTCCTCTCCTCGTCTCTCTCTCTTCTCTCTCTCTCTCTCTCTCTCTCGGTATGCCCACGCCGCCCCAACACACACAGGAAGCGCTTTGAGAAACTTCGCCCATTGCCATAAAGTAATAAAAAAATGAGTGAGCTAGGCATGACACCATGGCACTCTAGCCCAGGCAACAAGTGAGACTCGGTCTCAAAAAAAACCCAAAAATAATGCAGGAGTGATAGGCAGAGCAGCGGTTACTGAGCCCAGCCACTACTGCACGTGGTGGAAAGTCACCTGCCCAACCTGGAGGCCCCTGAACAGGATCCGGCTGCGCCACAGCAGTGATGTGGATCAGAAACTTCACATCAGCTACCACCTGGCCTGGCCACAGCGCCCAAACGGATCGAGGGTTTGGCATCCTACCCGGAAACAACAAAGAACTGAACAGGGCAGGTCGGAGGGCGGCTGTGCTTATAAAAATCCTCACAAAACCCCCACCTGGGCTGACTCTTCAGATAACAGACCAGCTCTGTTGCTCCCACATAGCCTGGGTATGAGATCTGTCCTTTGTGTGGTTCCTCTTTCACCTGGCACCATGACGGTTCTGGAGCCAGCCTCACAAGGACAAAAAGTGGGAAGGTAGCAATTCCTAGGACTCTGCATCCTTTCAGAAAATGAGTATTTCACCCTGAGCTTAGCATAACATTGGGGAACCAACGTAACAAGGAGAAACTTCATTATGCTCAGGGTCTCTGCACGGGGCAGGCCCGCTCCTCTCCAGAACGCTCTTGGGCTGGGTAAAGCTGCTTGTAAGTGGAGGCGGCTGACCCGGCATCGACTTGGTGAGGGTGCCTGAGACAGACTGGACAAGTTGTTCTTATACTGCTCTATCATTTTCGTGTCCTGGCACTACTGGAAAAAGGGCAGGGGTATGAAAATGCAAATTCCTTGGGACTGTGCTCTCCATTTTTGCCTATAAAGCCAAAAGGTTGTGTTTATGTTATTGGCCCGTGGTGTCTTGAGGCTCTCTCTGGTGTTGGGATTTGTGGAGGGGCGTTGACACTGACCACCTAGGGTCCCACGTGCTACCCAAGGAGCGCTGATGTTCGAAGCTGCCATGGATTATGGGGGAATGGAATTTCTTTCAATGGATGAGACAGACGCTTCAGGAAACACAACTTTATTCACTAGGACTGGAAACAGGCTTTCAGTCAGAAGACTGACTTGATAACCGTAGTGCAAGGTGGGGCGTGCTTGGCCATCACAGCCCTCAGCTGTGGGCTGCTGGGCCTGTTGCCCTGGCCTGCAGAGCTGGAACCCTGGTCAGCAGGCTGGGCTGGAATTCTAGTTTCCTGACATTGCAGTGATTTCTCACATGCTAGTTCCAGTATCACAGAGCTACACGTGTCCTCCAAGGTCACATGAGAAGACCCTGTTGATGTTTGGTGAACCGGAGCCTCCTGCTGGGTGGGCTGGGAGCAGGTGGCACACAAATGCACAATGTGATTGGCGGTGAAGGCCTCTGTCCCAGGCATGGGCCAAAGTCCTTTCTCTGCCTGAGCTGCTGGGTGCAAGTGAAGACATGGCTTTTCTAAGGGGTTAGGCTTTGAACACGTGGCGCCAGCCCGTGGCCCAGCCTCATAGCTGGGTGTGCCCAGTAGGGAGCAGCAGAGTGCCGTGGCTCTATCTGTACACTTGTTGCCACGCCCCCTCCCGTGCAGAAGGCCTTGTTAACAAGACGGACTCGAGGGCAAGGCATTAAGGCCACAGCCAGGGAAGGGGGCTGTGGACCCACTGCCCCTCTGAAGCCTGAAGACAGTCTGCTGCTGGGAGGAGGAAGGGGCAAGGTTCGGGCTGGGGTCCTAGAAATGGATGTCATGGGGTTGGCCACTGGGTGACAAGCTCAGAAGGGCCTGTAGACCTCTCCAGCCTTCCGAGATGGGCATCGAGCTCAGCCAGGTTCAGGGTCGGCAGCAGGAGTCCCCTCGGCCCTCCCTCTTAACATAATCGTGCAGCCGGAAGCGGGGCTCGCCGGGAGCCTTCATGGAGCGCTGCTTCAGCTCCCTACAGAGCAAGGGTGACAAAGCAGGGTGGCCTCCTGTACCCCAACAAGAGGGTTCCGACCCTGGGTTTGGTCTTTCTGGTGACTACCAGGACTTACTTTGCTATCCCCGTGAAGGCCAAGTCCACGTTGAGGCCTGTCTTGGCACTGGTCTCCATGAAGGGCAGCCCGTACTCCTGCAAACAGCCGCTGCCAGCCTGGTGGTGGCCTGGCATAGTGGGGACATCCCAGGCTCCACAGCCCAGGGGCACCCTCCTCACCACCCACCCTCCCCTGACTCACCTTGGCCAACTTCTCCCCATCTTCCCTCTTCACCTTATGCTCGTGGGCAGAGTCCACCTGGCCAGGGCACAGAGGTCTTGATGACAGCTGGCCCGTGGCTTGCCACCTGCCCCCCTCACCTCTGCTCTGTGGGGCTGGGCTGGAGAGGACAAGACAGGCCGCCCACCTTGTTCCCCAGCAGCATGAGCACCACGTTGTGCTGGGCGTACTCTTGGATCTCGGTCAGCCAGGCCTATGGGGGGAGAGGCTGGTGCCCCTTGCACGCCCTGCCCTGTGCCCCACAGCCTCTGCCTGTCTCCAGAAGAGCCCCCCGTGTGTCAGGCAGAGGCACCCACTTTACACCTTACCCAAGGAGACACATGGAAAAGTTGGTATGTCACCTGGGACCACCTTAGCCCACACTCAACCTGAGCCACCTCCATCCCAGAAGCGACCCGATGGCCCGTGCCTGGAGGAGGTTGGGGGTGGGTCGGGCCCTACCAGGAAGGAGGCCACTGACCTGGATGTTGTCAAAGGAGGCCTTGCTGGTGACATCATAGAGCAGCAGCAGTGCTGGGAGCAGAGGGGCAGTGAGGACGTCCCCTGTCACCCACACCCTCTTGCTCAGATACCCCCTCCAAGCAGGGCACCCACAGACCACAGTCCCAACTCCCTGGGGGTGGGGCCATGTATCCACAGGCTCACCATGAGCGTCCCGATAGTAGGCGTGAGTGACACTGCGGAACCGCTCCTGGCCAGCCGTGTCCCAGATCTGCAGCAGCAGGTACCAGTCAGGCTGCCCAGCCTCTCCCTGGTGTCCCCTGCCCCCAACTTGCTCTCCCAGACAGCTCACCTGCAGCTTCACCTTCACGCCATCCACGTCCAGAACTTTGTTCTGAAACAGAACCAGCCAGCTCCAGCCAGGGCCTGGCGCCAGCCTCTGGCCGGCTCCTGAGGGTGGGGTGGGGCGAGGAGGGTCGGAGGCCCTACCCCTGGCTAAGTCCCTGAAGTCATTCTTGAGCTCTTGCTTGCCACCCACACACCCCACATGCTTTTGTTCTGACCACCTTCCATCCTATCTGCAGGTCACACACCCCCTAAAGCCCAAGTGCTCTTGGGCCACCCAGCTCTCATGGTGGCCTCATGCACAGAGGGTGCCCAGGCCTCTTCCTCTCAGATGGCCACCCTGGTGATGGACCATGGCTAGTTGTCTCCAGTTTGGGGCCAGCATGTTCTTCCTCTGCCCACCTAGAGGCTCTCCCTCTCTTCCCTGTCCCCCAGGCCTCTCAAGCCCAGCCCGGCCCGGCCACCCTCCTCATCCTGGGGCCCGCTCCAGCGGCCTGCCAGTGCCCACTTTCCACCTGCTGCATGCCCCTCCCCTGCACAGACTGCAGCCCTCTGCCCGCCCCCCACGTCCTCACTTGCTCTATCCGTGCTGCTCCTGCTTGAAGCCACCTGTGCATATTTGAAGTCACCCACAGTATGACCCCAGGCCTTTTACTAACACTGCCTCAGTTTCCCTATCTGCAAACGGGGGATGACCAGAGTGACACTCACTCTGGTCATCCCGAGTGACCAGAGCAGCACTTGGCTGCTCCAGTAACTTAATGAAGTATTATATGCAAAGCATTGAGAGCTGTCTGGCTAAAAGTGTATGTTCTGATGTAAAAGCCTGTCCCCACTGGATGTCAGCTCCACAAGGGCTGAGCCTGCCTGTGCCCGGTGGGCACTGCCTATTTGTGCGTGTTTGCTGGCAGTATTTCCCAGCCGGCCTTCTCGGCTGAGGACTAGATGGGAGGCAGGGAGTGGCCCAACCCCAGTCCCATCTGCTGGGGTGGGGGTGGAGGCTTCAAGCCACAGCCTGAGACCCTGGGTGGCTGGAGTGCACACCCCCTCCCTCTGCAAGCTCCTGCTGCCAGAGTGCTTCTGGGTCTCCGGGGAACCAGGCACAGCCATCTGCTGGGCTGGGGAGGAGGCTGCAGAGGACATCTCGCCTTCCCTGGCACCCTGAGTAGGGTGCAAACCACACGGCCTCACCTCCTGCCCAAGAGCTAAGAGGGAGGTGGGGAAGGGGGGTAGCAAAACAAAGGACCACCACCCTCTGGCCCAACCTGACCCCTTCTGGCACCTCAACTCTTGACTCATCCCAGAGGACTTGAGGGAGCCTGGACCCCCCCCCCCAAACAGGATAGAGAATGGCTCCCCAGACTGGAGGGATTCCCCACCCCCCTTCCTGTCCCTGGAATGGGCCTCCCTCCCAGGCGCCTGCTAACTGGGTCTAATTAAAGGGTGAGAAAATGCAAATCCAAGATTTGCTGAGAGCACACCAGCACCTCAGCACGTGGCATTCAGACTGGTGGGCAGAGGTGGGGGCCCTGGTGCCAGAGCCCCACAGGCCCCTGCTCACGTGGGGGGCATCTCCTCACCCAAAGGCAGGGACCTCTCCCCCAAGCGAGCCCTGGAAGCCCTCCTCCCCAGGCCCTGGGTGGTGTATCTGCTCCAGCACTAGAGCCACCTGTTTTGTAGGACCTAGGCAGGCCACTTGGAACTTCCCACAGCCTCAAGACCTCTGTGCGGCAGGGCAGCAGTGCTGGCCTCCTGAGTGGACATGGGTCTTGAGTTACCTCTGACTGTCGTCACCCTAGTGGGAGCGCCAGCACTACCTGCACCAAGGCACAGGATACAGTCCCCTAGGTAGAGCCAGCCACTGACATGGGAACTCTCTCAGCTGGTCAGGTGCAGCCCGTCGGCTTGGCGGCTAAGGCTTCCCACCTCAACTGCCCTCACCCCGGATCTGAGTGGCCCTCCTAGGAGCCCCATCTCATGAGCCCATTGGTACCACCAGCTTCCCAGCAGTACTGGGGGGATGCAGGGAGCTGACGTGGGGCCCAGGGCCTGGTTCGGCCTGGCCAGGGCTGGGGACATCAGCCTCCACTCTCACCCGGAAGTCGATGCCCACAGTGGAGATGAAGGTCCCCGCCAGGAAAGCGCCATCCTTGAAGCGCACGAGGAGGCAGGTCTTCCCCACACCCGAATCCCCAACCAGCATGACCTAGGACAGGCAGGACAGTCAGAGGTGTCAGGCTGAGCTGGCCTGGCCAGAGAGAGACTGTGGCTCAGGGGCAGGACTGCAAGGTCAGCAGGGCGTTGGGGAGATGGCAGCCACAGTCCCCACTGGCCTGGATGCCCAGCTTATGCCTCTGGAAGGCTTGGTCCCCTCTCTTCCGAGCAGTGGCCCATCTCAACTGGGGAGGGTCGAGGTCAGCTGCCTCCATCCAGGACGCTGCCTACACCTCCCGGCCATGGACACCATGCTTGACCTGGGAGGGGAGCATCTGGGGACTAATGGAGAGCAGAGCTGATGGGGGCAGCAGCTGGGGACCTTCTATGACTTGTGGTGGCCTCTGTGCCAGGGGGCTTCTTCAAATCCCAGCAAGGCTTGGGAGGAATTTGCCAAACCAGGGTCAGATCTTGACGGAAGGAGGGGCAGAGTCTGTGGACAGGGACAGCGGGCTGGCCGCCCCTCCCCCCACCCGCTGCCACATGAGCCCAAACCCAAAGATGGTCCTACTGAGCCCCCATCCCCACACCTCTGCCTGGGTCTGGGCAAGGCTCCAAGTGCTCCCCACCTAACTGGCAGACCCCTTCCTGGCCTCTTCCCCCCTCCAAAAACAAGGGGAGATCCACGGACCCTGGGGGTGAGGGAAGGTGTCGTATGGGAGATGAGACTGGGGCCCAGGTGGGGGCCAGGACGTTAGGGCGCAGGAAGGGGCGCTGCGGGCCCCGATGTCTGCGGGACCTCTGGTGCGGCCCTGCCAGCTGGGGGTAGGGGACAGGCCTGCCAGCTGTTGAATCCCCCAAACCTGGGCTTGACAGCTGTGTGTGTGTGTGCGTGCGATGCCCGAGCCAGCCAGCCGTTCCAGCTGCCGGGTGCTGGCCGGGCCAGCGCCACGCCGAGGGTCCGCGGGGCCCTGCACCCACTCCCAGAGCCCCTGCCCTCTTGGCTCGGACCGGGCGGGCGCCACCTGCTGCTGTCGCCTGGGGGGGGGGTGCCCGGCTCACCTTGAAGGCGACGTCGTAGAAGTCGCCGCCGCCAAGGGAGGGCCGGCTGGGCTGCAGGGACCCGTTGGGCGGCGCGTCGGGGCCCGGGCGCGCAGTCCCGGAGCGCGCCGGCCGGGGCCCGTTGGCAGCGGGCGTGCCGGCCCCCTTGCTCCTGGGGGTCTTCTTCCTGGACATGGTGGGGTGGCGCTCAGTGCGCTGTCGCCGCGGCCGCCGCGCCCCGGGCTGTCCCGCTTCCCGCGCCGGCCGAGCGCGACCCAGACCCGAACCCTCTGCCTTGCGGCGGCGGCGACATCCCGGGCCCCGCGCCTCGCCCCGCCCCCGCCGCCCTTAGGGCCGCGCAGCCGCTCGGCCCCGCCTCCCGCCGCCGCCGCGGGGCGGGGCCATGCAAATGCGCCTCTCGCGCTCCGCCCAGGCCAGCGACCCTCCCTGGCCTCCCCGCACGCACCGCACGTGGGGCGGCGGGCCTGGCGAGGAAGCGCCGCGGGGTCCTGTGCCCCCTCTGTCCGCCCTGCTCCAGCCCAGCGCCCTCCGGGACCGCCGCCGGGCCTCGGACGCCGGAGCTGCCCTGACCTGAGGGCGCTGGGACAAAGGGCCTGCAGGGGTCAGCACCCTGGAGCTGTCCCTTCTTGCTCAGCAAGGCCTGCCCCGTCCGCTCCAGGGCAGGCGGGTCCAGGAAGCTGCAACACTCGGGCTGGGGGAGGAACCGGGCTGCACCCGCGCTCTGCGCTCCGGGACAGCTGGTCGTCAGAGGCAGGACAGAGGGGCACATAGCACTCTGCCCGCAGCTTCTGCCTACGCCGAAGCCTTGGAAAGGGAAAAAGGTAGCAGGTGCCACAGTCAGCAGGACCACCCTCTGAAGGTCCCTTCCCGTGGGCCTCTGCCCCCGGGGCTCTACAAGTTGGGAGGCCCCTCCCCTGGGCTGTAGCAGGCCCCTAAGCCTGCCCATTCCAGGTTCTGGCCCCGAGGTGGCTGTGCTGATTCTGCAGACCCTGAGCTGGTCCCTGGCACACTCCTCTCCAGGGCCTGACACACCCTCCCCGGCAGGGCCGACTGGAGCTCTGGGTTTGAGAATGAGCCTGGGGGGCAGTGGGTGCAGGGGGCAGTGCCCCTGGGGTGGGATGCTTCCTGGTACTCCTCTGGGAGCCAGAGGACAGCCTGGCTGTCCCCCAAGATGTGACAGCTGCCACCAGGACCCTGGGCCCTTCAGAAGCCTGGGTCCTCCCAGCTGGCAGGGCCCAGAGCCCAAATGATGAGCTGCCCCTGGGCTCCGAGGCCTGAGAAAACACAGATGGTGGCACGCGCCTGGCAGAGCGGGTACGCGAGAGGGCCTGGCGCTGCCCACACAGAAGAAGAGGCCACAGAGCACTGCCCTGCCTTGAGTGCTACCATGTGCCAGGCACTTGTCATTGTCAACACTACCCTGTGGGATGGCTGCTGTTGTGGTTCCCAGTGTACAAGTGGGGAAACTGAGGCCCAGAAAAGTGAGGGGAGCTATCCAAGGTCACCAGGCTATGAAGGAGTCGAGCCAGGATTTGCCCCTGGGAACTCTAGCTCCCAGAATGTAAACTGTCCCATGTCAGAGTTGGTCCCAGGCTCCTCTGGCGACTCATTCCTCAGGGACCTATCAGAGCTGGGGGACAAAGCTGGGAAGCCCCCTCAGAGCCCCCAGGCTGCCTTTCCTTGTCTCACTCCCCCACCTCTTCCAGGCCAGTCCCCACATGTGTGCACAGTGGGTCTGGGGCAGCTGCCACCCACTGGCTCCAGGGTCCTGGGCAGTGGACTCCCCACCTGCTCCTGCCAGCTCCTGCCCAGGGCACACCCAGGGCATGGAAACCAGGAGGGGTTGGGTGCTTTGGGGTGGGGCAGAAGTGCTGATGGGTGACCAGAGAAAGTGAGAGGCCTGGTTGGGAGGGTAGGAGACGGGCTTGCCCTTGGAACCTTTAAAATTGGGAGAGTTTACGTAAAAACCCAGGTCTCTGGTTCCTCTTGAAAAGAGGGGGCCCTGGGTGCCTGCATCATGGCCCCATTCTCTTGGCTTCCCTCAGCCCCCTAATCTTGATCATTGTGTCTCTTGGTTCCTCTGTCTGCCATCTGTTTCGCCCTCTGGAATGTAAACTATCTGGGCACAGGAAGCAGCTTGTCTTGGTCACTGCTGTGTCCTTAGCAGCTGGCCCTGGGCCTCAATCAACAGTTATTACATGGGCAAAAGAAACACGAGTTACAGACACAGGCCTCACTTCAGGAGGACATGTCGTTGCTAACAAGGATTTAAGGCAGAATGTGCCTCAACCTGCAATGAGAGCAGGACTGGAGTGGTCAAGCAGTGAGAGCAAGGCTTTGTGGAGGAGCGAGGATTTGCACTGGGCTTTGAAGGCTGAGCTGGAGTCTGACAGAAGACAAGACAGGGAAACCCACCGGCGGGAGGGAGTGAATGTGCACAGGCACAGAGTGCCAGGGGTGGGCGCTTGGAGATGAACAGGCCATGTAGGGGCCAGTTGCTTGGAGGAAATGGCAAGCAAGGTAACTGGTAAGGTAGGAGGGGGCCAGATCCTAAGGAAGTGGGAATGGCATGCCGAGGAGCTTGGACATTGTCCAGCAGGAAGCAGAAAGTCATGCATGGTTTGTGAGCAGAGGACACGGTGCTACAGGAGTGTCACGCTGGGGCGTGGCAGGCAGAGACAAATGGTGGAGCCTGTGGGCAGGGGGATGAATTTGGGGGGGGGGGTTGCAGTAACCCAGGGCAGAGGTTATAGGGTCAGAGAGGTCTTCCAGGAGGGACAACACCTGCAGCCCTGAAGGCAACAAAGGAAGAGTGAGAGTCCACGGGATAGAGACAGTGGCTGCTGTGGTGCATCAAACATGGATGAAAGTCTTTGCTGTTCCTCCCAGCGAAGGGGAGGGTCTCTGTGCCCTGTCCCTGAATCTGGGTAGAAGCTGTGATTGCTTTGACCAACAACTATGGCAGAAGAGACTTTGTATCCATCTCTGGACCCAGACCTTCCTGTGTCCTGGAATAGTCTTCTCTCCCATGCTGGGAGGAAGCCCGAGTAGCACTGTGGGTTTCCCCACGGGGAGAGAAACCGATTTGCCAGCCCTGAGAGTAAAGAAGCCATGTCGGTGGTGGACACCCCGGCCCCACCTGGTGCCGTGCAGAGCAGAATGGGCTGTCCCCACTGAGCCCTTCCAAGCTGCAGATTCATAAGCATTTGGGGGGTGTTTGTTACACAGCAATAAATAACTGGAACAGGCTGCCAGCAAGGGCAAGGAAGGGAGCCAGTATGGCGGGAAAGGCCGGGTGGGTGGGCTTGGCTGGGTCTGGGGATGCCCAGATTCTTGGGACCCGCAGACCTGGAGAGGAGAAGAGACCAGGGCAGATCCCTGAGGCAGGGTCCAATGTTGAGATGAGTTCATGCTGTGGCCTCCAGCTCCTGCAGTGTGCCTCCTGACTTGTCCTTCTGAGTGTCAGACCTTGTTCTGGAATGACATGTGCCTTAAGTCCTCAGCCTCAATGACTTGGGGGCCCAATGGCCTAGGATGGTCTCACTCTGGGCTCCCATTGTCCAAGGCCTCCAGCTTTAGCCCCACACTCTGCTCACTCACAGAGCTTGGCCCTCAGGCTGGCCTTTGTGTGCTGGAGAGGGGACACAGGCAGGCGGGCATCCTCCTCAACCTTCCAGGCTCTGCCTGGAACCTTCCCTGGCTCCTCCTGCCCTTGTTTCTTGCTGCCCGCGTGCTCTCCAGTGGTCCCTGGGGGGCTGTGCTGCCTCTGCCAGCCCGTGAGCCCCCTGAGGATGGGGCCCCATCCTGCCTGTCCCCGCTCCTGCTCCCAGCCAGCGCTGAAGGGAGGGCTCTGTAGCTGAGCAGGAGAGAGCCAGGCTGGACGTCCTTTAGCAAGTGGGGGAATGCAAAGCCCCCAAAGCTTGTGCCCCCAGAGCACCTCCGCAGAAGTCAGTCCTACAGAACCCGGCTGTCTGGGCTGTCTGGGCTGTCAGGGTGGGAACGGTGCCAGGAGGCCAGAGGGCCAGGTGGGCCCCTGGCTCGAAGTGTGACCCTGAGCAAGTAGCATCCCCTCTCTGGGCCCCTCCCTCCCATGAAACGAGGGGGCGGGAGGAGCTGATCTCCGAGGTCCCTTCCAGCTCAAACACCTTATGTTCTCTGAAATCTGCGTGAATGTTGCCATGGAGACACCAGAAGAACGGTAGCAGCAATGAGTGTGACTTCCACCCGAGATAGAAGAACTGAGTCACCCCAAAAAGTGGGTGACATCAGACTTGAGCTTTCCCCCAATGCCCAGGTGTGCAGGGGCCACGTGAGTGACGAGTGTCCTGCCCCCTGAGAGGACACTCCCCTGCACCCCACTCGCCTTTGTGACCCTGAGTAGTGACAGGTGGGTGTCCATCCTTGCCTGAAGGGGGACCCTTCATGTGGGGCCAAAGCAGAGAGCTGTCCCCTCGCAGATGTGACCACAGCGACTCAGAGGTGCTCTGTACAGAGGAAGATGAGCTCATGCAGAAGTCATGTCCGCCTCTTGCTGCTTGTCACAGCAGTGTCCTCAGCCCCACAGGGCCAGGGGGCTTTCGGTCCCAGAGCGGGCCACCTTGGTCACGGGAGGAGGCAGAGCCCGGCTTGTGGCTCCAGGCAGCCCCGGGGTGACATGCGTGTGGCTTCGTGGCAGGTGCCGGCATCAACACAGAGCAATACAACACACCCCTGTGGAACCGTGACAGTGACTAAGGCCCCCAGACCATCTTTGCCCGAGGCCTGGGTCAAGTGCTTGTCTTGCATTGTTTCCTTTTTGTTATTATAACAGTAGCGTGTGGCCGGGCGAGGTGGCTCACGCCTGTAATCCTAGCACTCTGGGAGGCCGAGGCAGGCGGATTGCTGGAGGTCAGGAGTTCAAAACCAGCCTGAGCAAGAGCGAGACCCCATCTCTACTATAAATAGAAAGAAATTAATTGGCCAACTAATATATATAGAAAAACTTAGCTGGGCATGGTGGCGCATGCCTGTAGTCCCGGCTACTCGGGAGGCTGAGGCAGAAGGATCGCTTGAGCCCAGGAGTTTGAGGTTGCTGTGAGCTAGGCTGCCGCCACGGCACTCACTCTAGCCTGGGCAACAAAGCAAGACTCTGCCTCAAAAAAAAAAAAAAAAAGTAGCGTGATTTTTGTGCCATGTCAACACCACGAAAAATAAAGGTGAGAACAAGCATCGCCCCTCTCCCTCACATCCCACCCTTCAGTGGTGGCCGCTGTCAGGTTTGGTAGCAGTGTCTGCGTTAGTTGGCTATTGCAGCTG